GAGAGAGAGAGAGAGAGAGAGAGAGAGAGAGAGAGAGAGAGAGAGAGAGAATGTACACCTAAGTGCAGGTGACTGCAGGCAGAGGCCAGACGCGGGCAGCAGGTGCTGTGGAGCTAGAGTTAGAGGCAGCGGTGAGTGAGACACCTCATGTGGGTGCTGGAAACAGAACTCTGGTCTTCCAGATGAGAAACACCTGCTTTTTTTATTTTATTGTATTTATTTATTATGTATACAATGAGTGTTTGGTCTGCAGGCCGGAAGAGAGCACCAGATCTCCTTGTAGATGGTTATGAGCCACCATGTGGGTGCTGGGAATTGAACTCAGGACCTCTGGAAGAACAGTCAGTGAGTACTCTTAACTTCTGAGCCATCTCTCCAGCCCGAGAAACACGTGCTTTTAATCACTGAGACTTCTCTTGAAGCCTCCCCCACAAGACATATTCTTTAAGCTTGTTGATGGTTGTGTGGCTATTAATTAGAAGTAAAAGGATTTTTCCCTCCAAATCAAATGCCAGGAAGAGAGAGAAGAATAGATTAGAAACCATTTTATCACTGCTCACTACTGAGAATCCCCTAAAGACAGAGTAACCATTAAATTACAACACAGCCTGAGCCTGTCACCCCAGCACCAGGGACAAAGGTAGAAAAATCACAAATTTGAGGCCCTTCTGGACTACAACACAGTGAGTGTACATCCCATTGAGCAGGACTCAGTCTCAAAACAAAACTTTAAAATGATTGGGAATATAACTGAATGGTGGAGCGCTTATCAATCACATGAGTCCTTTAAATTAATCCCCAGTACCAGAAAAAGAAAAGAAAAGCATCCCAAATTTCCTCTAAAAATACATAAATCAAATAAACTGACTATAAGTAAAAAATATTATGTGTCTATAATTACATGTGTATATAATTATTAAAAATAAAAATGTGTGGATATAGACACAACAATTTTTATATTTGCTTATATTTTATATTATATATGGAGAAATTTAGGTCAAATATACTGATCATATCAATAAATACAAATGTGTTTAGTTTGGCTGTCAATGAGTGTAAATGAGCTTAAGCAACCCATTAAATAAAATCTTTTCATGCTGGCTAACAGCAGTATCTAACAGTACTGTTGGGTATAAAGGGCAGAACTAAAACAATTCAGAAACAATATTGAAAGAATGGGCAAAAACACGCGTAGCAAGCAAGCACAACGAGAAGCAAGCTGGAGTCACGTGTCTTTACATACAGTGAAGCAGAATTCCCGCTGGGAAACAGTAGGGAGGAGGCTGCTTTTCCATGCTAAGACACTTCTGGAAAACACAAGTGATTGGCTAGCACCCAGGGGGGTAGCAACAACTCCCTAAACTACAGGAGCCACAAGTTAAAAAAGAAACATAGTATCACCAGGACACTTGCCACACCAAAACCATTTAAGTGGGCCCAAAACATCAAAAGCTGGAATACCTAGATAGCATCATGAATAAGGCAGCTGATCCAGGCACATGCTGAACTCTGAACACATAGAGGTAATACTTGCTTTTCAAAAACATTCACAAAACAATCCTGAAGGAAACATGAAGTCCCAAGAACAGAAATAACATGAACAGCATTCTTTAGACAAAATGAAACAAAAACATAATTACAAATAAAATCAAAGAATTAAAAGGCTTCCTACAGGAAGTTTTTATGCACATAATAATATACATTGTGTCAAGTGGGAAGTCAAAAGCAAAAAAACAAAAAAAAAACCAAAAAACCAACCAACCAAAAAAAAAAGAGAGAAATTTCTTCAAAGTGATAACCAAAATATCCAAATCTAAGAATTCAGATAGCTAAAGACATATCTAAGATTCATCTCTGTCAATACTGTGTACTATTACATAGCTTTTCAATATAAAGGGGAGGCTAAACAACACACTGAAAACAACCAAACAAAGAAAAGCAATCGGGCCAGGCATATGTGCACTCCTGTGGGGTTCCAGCACTTGGAGGCTGAAGCAGGAGGATCGCAAGTTCAAGGCCAGCCTTGACTCTAACATAAACTCTGTCCCAAATGAGAAAGGGAGCAGCAAGGAATTAAGAACAATAAATGCAGAGAAGAGTTTCACCAAAAAAAGACAGAAATAAAACAAAATAAACCCCAAAGTTGGTCTTTAAAAAGAGAAAGAGAGAGAGAGAGAAGTTTGAAGTGCTGATAATAATCCTTATGACTAATTAATTACCAACAAAAAGAGATAAAACTGGAATGCCTAAATATAAATCACAAACAGAAAGACATCAGATCTTTAAGATTCAAGGAGCTACCATGCACATGCAATGGAAAATCTAGGTGAGGTGGACATTTTAAACAAATGAAACACAGAAACTGATTCTATCAGAGAAAAAAATAATTAAACAGACTTCAAGACACGGAGAAGGAGACCTCCTCCGTAAGCCACCAAGCCCAAGGAGTCACTGCAGAATCCTGCCAAGACTTCATGCAGGCCGTCCCAGCCCCACTGAAATGACATCAGGGCACACAGAAACAACAGCCAATGTGTTTTATGAAGAGAGTGCAATACTGATCACCAACCCTGACAGACTGCACACACAAAATAAATAAATAAATAAATACATGATAAAAATGTACAAAATCGCCAGGCGGTGGTGGTGCAAGCCTTTAATCCCAGCACTTGGGAGGCAGAGGCAAGTGGATCTCTGTGAGTTCGAGGCCAGCCTGGTCTCCAAAGTGCGTTCCAGGAAAGGCACAAAGCTACACAGAGAAACCCTGTCTCAAAAAAAAGTACAAAATCAACTACATTTAGATTTCTGTAATAATCTAAAAAAATGCTAATGGGACATAGCTTCACATCAAAAATATACTGCATCACAGGGTAAGGATGTAGTTTAGTCAAAAGAACGATTGCCTAGTACATATGAAGGCCTGTGTTTGATCCCAGCACCGGACACAATAGCTGAACTGACACATATCTGTAATCTTAGCACTTGGCAGGTAGAGGCACCAGGATCAGAAGGTCAGGGTCATCTTCAGCAACTTCGAGAGTTCAAGGACAACCTGGATTACCCAAGACTGCCCCATATGTCTGTATATATAATGCATCATGATTAAGTGGGAATTATCCTCAAATCTAACACTAAATGATTTAAAAAATACATTCACATAATCTATTACATTAATTGTCTCCATTTAGGACAAAGTTATCTAACATCTAATGCTCATTCAGGTTATAAAAAATATAAACTGACAGATACTTTCCCAACATGACATATACATACATGCGCGTGCACCTGTGTGTGTGTGTGTGTGTGTGTGTGTGTGTGTATAATACAGGTATTTATAGGCATATATATGTATGTACACACAAGCAAACAGAGTAGCCCAAAGCACCCTCCTTATTTTAGAAACACCAGTTACTGCCGGGCATAGTGGCACACGCCTTTAATCCCAGTACTCAGGAGGCAGAGGTGGGGGATCTCTGTGATTCAAGGCAATCTACAGAGTGATAAGACAGCCTGACTACATGGGGAGACCTGTCTCAGAAAGAAAAGAAACACCAGCTGCTAGTCAAGCATGGTACCATACATCCCAAAACTTCAAAGACTGAGGCAGGAGAATCAGGAATTCAAGACTGGCCTTTACATAGTCAAGAAAAGAAGGAACCAGAAGGCCAACTCAGTACACAGACTAAAATTAACATGAGCAGGCCCTGGGGAAAAGATGAAAATGAAACAGAAAATACTGTTTATGACAGACAAAAAAGACAATCAAAGAGATGAGGAGTGGCTAGTGGCACAGAGCTTGCCCACCATGTATGAAGCCCTGGGTTTAATCCCCAGCATGGCAGAGGGCGGGAAGGACCAAATACCCAAGTGTAAATTTAAGGAATAACAGGCATGTGATAGTATACACCTATAATCCCAGTACCTGATTTTTTTATTTTTTATTTTCTCTGAAACAGGTTCCCGCTGTGTAGACCAGACTAGCCTCAAACTCACGTTCACGCCAGGCGATAATCCCAGCATTTAGTAGGATAAGGCAAGAACGTCTTGAGTTAGAAGCCAGGCTGGATTACACAGTTTAGAAGAGTGGGAATCCATCTGAGAAAAAAAAAAAAAAAAAAAAACGTTCCTAAAAAACAAAACAGAGTTGGCATAGAAAGAAAAACTATGTTCTTGATAAGAAGACAACTTTATCAGACAATGGTCGGCCGTTAAAGGAAAGCTAATATCTCAACAAATTCCATCAAGCATCTTATCCTGGACCTGGAGAGGTTGAATGTAAGATTCATTTGGAGTAACAAACAAGAATAAAATGGAAACCCCTGAAACACTTGGTAGGGCAGAGAAGCTGTGTCAGCAGATGTCAAACCTTCAACAGCTGCAAAGGCTCATGGTCCTACTGTATGAGTAGACCAACAGATCAATACAACCAAGGTGAAATACAGAATAAACAGCTGCAAACACAGGGAAAAGGCAACATGTCCAGGCACGGGTTTTTGTTTGGTTTCATGAGTAATGTTGAGACACACAGGACAGCCAAAGGAGAAAAAGAAGCTTACCCAAATGGGTCTACTCCGCATACCAACCTACAGAATAAACTCCATGTGAACTAGAGGTTTAAATGAAAGGAAAAACAATTATACAAGGTCTGATGTAGTCCAGGCCACCCTTGAACTCTCTCCGCGGCCACGGATGACCTTAAACTTCTGATCCTCCTGTGTCTACATTCTGAGTGCTGGGATGGTTGCCATGCCTGATTATGCCGTACTGGGAATCAAAACCAAGGCCTCGCATATGCCGGGCAAACACGCTACTAACTGAGCTACTTCCTGGTCCAAATAACATTTTTAAAAATAAGATCTGGAAGCCAGGCGTGGTGGCACACGTCTTTAATCCTAGCACTCAGGAGGCAGAGGAAGATGGATCTCTGATTTCCAGGCCAGCCTAGTCTACAGAGTAAGTTTTAGGACAGTCAGGGCTATGCAGAGAAACCCTGTCTCTAAATATTAATTAATTAAGAAAGAATGATCTGGCAATTAAAAAATAAAAATTTATTTGGCTCAAAATCAAGAAGGAAAAGATGGACCAATGTAACTGCTTAAAATCTTGCATGGTAAAAGAAAATAAACAAGGAAAATGAATACATACACCATAAATGTACAAAAAAAGGGGGGGTGTGAAAATAATAAAATAAAAAAGTGGGAGTGAACAGGCCTGAGCCCACTCCTTGGATAGGCCTGTTTGCCAGTGTGGCCTTTGGCTGGCATCTAAGAACTGACGAGACAGCTCAGGAAGATTCCTACCATTCCCTAAAACGATAATGATGGCTCACTGGCTACATGGCCCAAACAACTCAATGTACAAGGAGCCCTTCGGTGACTTGGAATTTTGTTGTTGTTAATTTTCATTTATCTTTATTTTATGTGCACAGGTGTTTTGCCTGCCTATATGTCTGCACACCACCTGTGAGCCTGGTGCCCCCGGAGGCCGCTGGATCCCCTGGAACTGGAGTTAGACAGGTGTGAGTCACCCACCGTGGGGATGCTGGGAATCAACACAGGTCCCCCGGAAAGGGACTACAGGAGCAGCTCCAGTGACAGCCGTGGGCACTTGGTGTCCCG